CCGCGGCCGCGTAACCCGCACGCCGTGCACTCGACTCCGCTCCGCCGTGTACGGCGAGGGGTGAAGAGGATGGTAGTAACGTGCGTCAGCGACGTGCAGAGCGTTACCGGAAGGAGCATCCGTGTCTCACGCGCGTAATCGGAGCGCGGTGCCGCGATCGCGTGCGATACGCCGCACGATCTGTCGCCGCGTTGATCTGCTGAAACGTTATTGCGAACATACGCGGACTGCGCGACGTCGAGCACTGTGCGAACGGAGACGCCTCCGACACGCCGCCGCCATTTTGCTACGTCAAAGGGGTGACATAGCGCCGGCGCTGTGATAAAGCCGGCCAGATCCGAGCGACGTCGGAGCCACCCGACGTACCGCCGCTCCGGCGAGACCACCGTGAACCTCGCCACCGAGCCACCCCCTCTCGGGGGTGCGAACCACTCGCATCGGTCCCCCGTGTGGTCCTATCTCCTCTTCTCCCGGCACCAGCAGGCGAGCGAGCTGCCTTTTTCGAGAATGCGTTCGCTCGTTCCGGGGGTGCAACGTCTTCAGAAATCGTTGCGGACGCGACCCGCTTCGACTGCGATCATTCGAAGTTTGAAATCGAGGAGGTGGATCCGCGTTCCTATTCGCGTGTCTCTTGAATAAATTTATTTTTACGCGGTCAAAAATTTCTCGGATAAATATTTAAAATGCCCAACGGGGTTTATCTCGCAAGTTTGCCCAAAATTACATCGCGTAATTTTATGTATTCATCCGTATCTTTTTTTTTTTATAACGTGGAAAAACTAACTCACCTCTTGGTGAAGATGGTGGGTCGATTCTAATTCCCGCAGTCGTTTTGCACCCATGCAAACTGAGTGATCCTAATTAGCGATGCTGTCGAGTTTCGCTCGAGTTTCCGGCGCGAATTCACGTCGCGAGACTTGTTTTCGCACGCCTGTAATACAGAAAGAGAGAGAAGAGATTAGTCTCGCTGTAAGATGCCTAATTCCGATAACTACTGCCTACACCGCCATCCATGATTACTTTACGAGGCGATGGCGATCTCTCTGGTTACTTCGAATAAACGTTATCCCGTCGCCATCACGAAAGGCTATAAAAAGAAGGCTGAAATCGTTGCATGCCGCCAGCAGCGATTGAATTTATGCGCTTGTTCGAACAAAAAGTTACCAATCTATATTTCCAATAATACGTGCCAAAAATAATTTCATTCTGCAAATAACGCGCGGTGGCCAGAACGAATAATACGTTACAACGCCCGCAGGCTTTCCCAAAATTAACTAATTCATGATATCCCGGGCATTAGTATTTCAGATGGAAAATTGGTTCATTTAGGATGCCTGTGTAAACTGTTTTCTCGTTAGCGTGAGAAAGGATCGTAAATGCGGAGTTGAACGAGCCGCGGCGACACGCAATGTCTGGTATTCGGAGGAGTTTCTGCAAATGCCGCCACGGAACAACGTTACCACTACCGCCGCGATTACGCCGTCGCGATAAGAAAATTTCCACATTGTCAAAGAGATACTTGATCTTTAATTAATTTTGCAATCTGCCACCCTTCACGCCGGTGAACAGATTTGTAGTAAAGATTCGCCGGTAAGCATATGCGAACAGCGCGACAACGGGCGGCGCGCCATTAGCAAGTAGTTACGCCGCGCGTTACGACGCGCCTCGGTAAGTAGTAAATTCCGCTCGCGCGCGACGCGCAAATAACGAGTCGCGCTACTCGTACTACTGAAGAAACGGAACTTGCCCCCGCCTCATGATTTTCGTAAACTTCATAACGAGAACGTGCACCTCTCTCTTGAAACGGTCTCGTCTAAAGATTTAGAAATTGAATAAACATCTCGTTATATTTTATTCAGATTAGAAGAACGACTTAATATGCAATTTTGTAGGGAAAATTACTAAAAAAATATATATATATATTCGACACAAAAACAGTATACAAAAATAGTATTTATTATATATTACATTCAAATTTCCAGGAAAATTTTACAGAGAATTTTTTAAATGGAAGATATTTGTTAAAAATACTAATGGCATTGTTATTGTAGCAACTTTTTCTTAAAAATATTTTGTAACATGCAAGAAATTAAAAAAAAAAACCAATTTAATTATCACGTAGGTGTTTCCTTATTATTTCGTATATTTTAAGTACAAAAGACAATTTCTAGATTATTTAATTATTCTTATAGTGCGATTAAATATTAATTATATTTACACGTATTCTGATGGTCATCAAATTCTAAATACGAAAGATAGTTCGCGGTTTAGCATTTAATCATTCCGTTGACGAAGGAGACGACGTCAGTTTGATGTAAAGCGATTTCATTGGGCCTGGTTATAAATAGTCTTTCATGCTTCATAGTTATCAATAAGAGATGCACCGTGCACGGCACCAACGACGTTCTCTTCGGATATCAAGGCACATGCCACTGTCGTACATTGATATAAGCATTTTATTTCACGTTCCACGCGAACAACTGCCGTTCTATCAGAAATAATAAAAGCTGCTGCTTTTGGAAAAAAAAAAGAACATTCCAAAAATATCGGAAACATTATCACGATCAACTGCGATATGGTATTTAATCGCGTATCGTGTCTACGTCCATATGACAATAATGTCTTCATCAATAGTGATTGCCACTATGGCCAGATTATAGTCTTCGTATAGCTTTAACGCACTGTAAGCCAACACCGGAAGTCTTATTTTTCTACATTCGTGGTTGGTGCACATCGTAAGTGCGCTCGAGCACTCGCTCGTTTGAAAATTTCAGCTTAGTAGTAATTAGTCGTAGTCGCCATATAACGGAATTGAAAACGAGATTGAATCGCGAGCTTATTAAATAGCAACAATTTCACCTTGATGCGTTCGGTATAACCGACCAGTATGACGGTGAAGATGAGCACGGGACGAGCAGCATTAGGAAGATAAACTTTTTATAGATAGAACAAAAAAAAAAAAAAGAAAAGAAAACGAAAGAACAGCGCGCAGCACTCGCTTTGGAAATGGTTTAACTTTAGAGGATTGCGGACTTGCGCGCTTCAGATATTGCCAGCTCGCGGATTTCAGTCGCGATCGTGAAAAGCAACGGCGGAAAAGGGAAAAAAGAAATAAACGAGGGGGCGGAGGGGAGGAGGCGGAGAGATTCGAGTACAATGCATGAAAGTGAGAAAACGTGCGGAGGGTGAAATACGGTGCGGATCGCGATATTCGCGATATGTGCACGAGTGATCGCAACTCGGCGCGTATACGAAACATTTATCGGGCTGTTGTACGTGGCATTTACTAGTCCACGCGTCCTCCGGATATCGCCGAAGCCGCCTACCTCGCGAAATCGATACAATTATTTGCGATAATGCAATCCGATTTATGTCACGGGGTGGTGCGTCGATCGAATTCACGATTAATTGTATGAAATACGCTTGAAATCCAGTAATCTTTCTAGAAACGCAGTTTATTTTCAACGTGCAAAAGTTAGTTAGCCGGCTATATCGCTTTATTGATACGTTAATAGATCGCGTTAAATGTTGAAAATCTCGGAACGTTGAAATTATACAAGAGAGCATATTCATTTTTTGTTCTTATACTTTTAAAGCATTTTTTATTCAAGCCAATATAAATTTGTGCAGCGTGGAAAAATATGAGACCACGTATTTTTGTTTTATAGATACCGATGGGAGATTTAAAGGACTGAAACGTCCCTTCGAATTTCGACGGTCGAAATCGTTTTTCTACAATAAATGCCAGATTATTGCGCGAAAGCGAATTTGATCACCGAATTTCGACGGAGTGTTTTGCTCTTGACATTTAAAGCGTAGTATAAAAACACGCACGCGCGTGTATTTTTCGAAATATTCTCGAAATACGGTTCGGTTTGAACGCAAGAAAATGAAAAGGATTCGCAGAGTCGTACGTAAGACCCCGTTAAAAGTACAACGAGAAGCGTCTTAAAATAGATACGTCCAGTCTTTGTGTGCGTGTGCTTGTGTGTGTGGGAAAAACATTTAAATAATGCAGCAATACGCTTTTTATGCAAACTGCGATTGACGATGCAAAATGTGCCAGTGGTCGTATAGCCGTATTGATCAGCCGCGCCGACGCGCCACTTCCGTTAATGCAGACACCGGAGGGAACGCCGATACCGAAATTCTCTGTGTTACACATGGACCATTAATACTGGGCGTGCGGCATTCCGTTACTATATTCCGAGATGCCTATCCCGACGATGAAGGCAATCGCGATGTTATGACATCCATCCGCCATCGATCACCATTAAATTACCTGCCGCGCGCTCAAGAGTCGGACTTGGTCCAGCGGCGGATCAAGATTCGCTACGAGAATCGCGGAAAACGAGACGCCCACGTGTGTCGCGGGCGCGTATCGTCTACATAAATAACGGAGACATGCAAACTGAACTCGAATCGAATTGAAATCAGCTAAAATTCGACTCGAATCCAAATCGCGATGACTCGGGTTTGAACTTGAAGCATTGGAGAATTTCGAATATTTGGGAAGATTTAAACGCAAATCATCGACTTATATCGACGATCTTACGAAATTATATTTTACTCTTATCTCTTCTTCTTACGCGTAATTTTGCGTAACGATTACGCTTGTTAATTGAAGTTTTATGCTTTCGACGATTCGATTCGACTCGATTCAGTTTGATTTTGTTGTTCGATCCTATATAATGTAAAATCGGAAATAAAATGCAATTCAATAATGTGGATTGAAAAATTGTTAGTCTTAGTCTTACATTTCTAATAAATAATTTAAAGATAAATATAACAATGTTACGAGGTGAAATAATGCATTGTTTCGCGCATATGAATACCGATGTGCTTTCATCATCAAAAACAAATAAATAAATTTTGCAACGCTTGATTATTGCCGTAATTGATTGCCGACGATGTATATTTAATCGTCATCCCCATCCCCCTCCGCGCTGAATTGGTGGTAGCGTTCGTTGCGACGCGTGTTAAAGATAACGAACATGTTCGCGCTACGAAACGGACGTTTGCCGATGCGAGATACGATCGCACGTTGTGACATCATCGGTACGGAATCCCGAACGTGTGCGCGCGTATCCTGTCGATATTTCTCTTAACTCACAGTTGACCAGCTTTGTCGGTTCGGGCCGATTGCTTTCTAAAAAATGCACGAGCCGTCGCCAAACGGGCCGAATGGAAAGCGGACGCGATACGAGTCGCAGCACGCGCAAAAGTGATTTCCCAGATTGCGAAAGCGCTTGCTCGAAAGCTTTATCGAATATCTATTTTCGCGGGGCTAGTCACACCGGGTAAAAGTAAGCGAGAGGCTTCTCTTCTCGGAAATTCTCGATGCTTCAGCATGACCGATCTCGCCGAATGGATAGACATTAACGAAGGATCGATCTAACGGGAGATGCCCGGTGGGAGGTATCTTCATTGTTAAAAGTCGATCAATTCCAGGGAATGCTTACGTTTATTTCTATCAATTAGATGATTAACTTAACCTCGATTTAATTTATTTTTTATCTTTTTCAAATTCTCAGAAGTAAAAGAGGGTAAAAAGTCTCAAACTGAGATTAAAACTAATCTGTATACACGTAAAAATAGATATTGGATTTAATAATTCGATAAATATATCGATATATTTTTTTTTATAAAAATACATACTTGTTCAATTGCTATCTAATATGTAATAACATAATTACCATTTCGAATTGATTTTCCTGACCACGGACTTGGCGCGTCCCCGCGTACTGATCGCGTCCTCTCGCGGCCGATTCTCTACGTATCGGCTGCGTCGGTAATCGAGAACCGGTATGAATGTGCGCGCAAGCAAACGAGAAGACGTCGTCACTGATTGTCGCGCGTCTGCGCGCGGCAGGACGTTGTCGTCACAAATATACTTTCGAGTCGATAATAACGTCATGACGTATCCACAGACGTGTATATAAGAACCGGTGTATGCATATGGACGTATCTCGCGTGCCGAATGATTCAGCCCGACGAATTACGCGTCGACTCATTGACGGTATCGATCATCACCCGTCTTAACGTCCCGTGTCATAGATTCATCTTTGCATCGAGCTTAGAAAAAAAAGAAAGAAAAAATAGATGATACATGAAGTGACGGAGCGACGAATGATCGCTTGGCCACGAGGGCCTCGGGCTTCGCCGTGTCAGCGACAGACGGCTCCAAGAGCGCCGTCGTCCAGCCGAATGGCGTTCGAACGGCGGAGGCGCATCGGCGACGACTGGTCACGTCGCCGTGCCCGCCGCGACCAATCGGCGGTCGTCGGCGCGTACCACGTGACCGAAAAAATCGAAATGGTGGACGTATCGGGACGCAGGATCCCGTGCGGAGACGAAGGACGAGATAAACCTGGGCAAGGGCCCCCGTCATCCGTGTGATCGGTGACCGTGCGTGCGAATTCCCCGCGGCGGGCGAGGCGTGTTATCTCGCGCGAGGTGCCACGGCAGGTGGGATCGCCGCGATTTGGTGCGCGTCCGCGGCCCCGCGGCCAGACCGGTGCGCGCTCCGGATCGATCCGATAGTGTGCCGATCGCGACACAGCGTGTGTGTTTATCCAAGTGTCAACCCGCCCCGTATTGTACGGGCGCGTGTCCGCCGTATCGTCCGCTCGTGTCCCCGGGGTCGCCCGCGCGAGAGGAACGAACGGGGCACGGCCGAGGTTGGCGCGGCGAGAGTTGGGCCGGTCGTGCGCGACGTTCGTCAGGCTCCCTCCCCCTCCCCTCCCCCGCGCGCGCGATTCCACGAGAGGGATCCCGCGAGCCGCGCGCGCGACTCGAGAAGCGGATGCGAAAAGGGGAGAAGGCGATCGGACGGATCTCTCGAGGACAAGAGAGAGAAGGAGCAAGGAGTGAGAGTGAGAGAGCCAGCGGCCTTCTCCACGCGACCAGCGGGCCTCCTGCCCGCGACAGCATGTCCGAGCGCATCGCGTGGGCCCCGCTGCTCCCGGAGGACGATGCGTCGCGACATGGACCTCGCGAGCGACGAAGGAGGTAACGAAGGATTGCAAAAGTATCGGCGAGCGTATGTATGTATGTACGTGCGAGCGAATGTCTGCTTGGTCGCCGCGCGTATACACACACGCACGCACGCATGCATTTGCGCACGCACGCACGCATGCATTTGCGCACGCACGCACGCACGCACGCACGCACGCACGCACGCACGCACGCACGCACGCACGCACGCACGCACGCACGCACGCATGCTCTCGCAACATACATTGCATTCCTTCGTGGTGATATCGCGCGCGGCGTGGCGCGGAGCGGAGCGGAGCGTGTCGCGCTCCGTGATTCAGCTCTGCTCCAGAAACTCTTGCGACGTTGGTGCGCGACTTTATCATGTTGACGTTTGCTCGCTCGCTCGCTCGCTCGCTCGCGCGGGCATCCCCCTCGATTGGCACAGGCATGATCCGTGACCCGTCAATCTGCTGCGGCAAGAGATCCCGCGTATCCAAATGTCACACGGCCGTCGACTCCCGCTCGGCCGCGAGCGACGAGCGAACAATCGCGGAAACGTAATACCGCTCGTGGCATTCCTTTGTATGTATGTGTGCGTGCGCGCGAACGCGAGTCGCGATCGTGCCCCGTCGCCGAGATCCGCCGCCAACGGAGCCCCTGGACCGCGACGGAGAACGCTGCGTATTTACATCGCGAGACGAGATTCGCCATTCTTCTCGCTCGCCGACGGAAAGCGGTTATTTGTGATCCCCGGAATGTGATCCCCGCATGTTCGCCGAAAAAAAAAAATGCGCGTCCGGGGTGGGAAGGGGATATTTTTAAATCCGGACCCGTGCACGCGTCAATCTCGCGGCGCTCTCGACACGTGCATACGCTTTGCCTCCTACGAGCCGAAATGAGCCGCACGACACGCCGCTACCAGTGGACTCCGATGTCCTCCTTAAAAATGATCGGAAAGTTCGATTATTCTTATCCGTCTTCGCTTTTTTAATAGCCATTGTAATAACCATTTTCCTCCTACACGATTCACGACGTGCGTTCTATCTTGACGCGCTTGTTTAAAATAGAAATGCAATGCACCTGTTCCATTCTTGTTACAGAGAGGCTTTACATCGTCACGCTAAATGCGGGATTGATTTATTTTATAAACGCGATTGTCTACGTGTTAAATTAAATTTTCATACAATCATTTACATATTAAATGAAATCTTTGATGATCCTAATAATCCTATTTTTGTGATTCATTTAAATTAATGTATTGTACTATTTTTTTTTCCAGATAGGATACTTTTTTGACTTTAGAAAGTTTCGTGCAATAGATGGAAACGATACAGCCGCAACCTATTGCAATAATTATGCTGAAATACTCAAGTGGCACGAGAATATTTACAATACGTTGAAGACCTTGGAGTTTTGTCAGAACAAGGGGAAATTAAGTTACTGCCTGCCAACAATAGCACACCCACGCTTGTCACCTGTTCAGTGAATGTTGTGATAATAATTTAATGGCTGTCGGAGAGATTCCAATGGACAGTCTGTGTGTTAAACGCATGATATTCAAATAAAACAGGCCATTCTACGACTCTAAAAATACTCTAACTCCTGATGAACAAATCTGGAACAAGGACCTATGGAATTGACTGACCTATATATCTATATAAAAAAGAGGAATAAAATAACTCTAATGATTCTATTTTATTACAATAATAATTATTAATCAATGGTTGGAATACTCCAAGATATATCAAGAGAGATCTAGAGATAATTTGAAAGAGCTTTATAATTTCTTATGGATATATTTTGTGACCAGAAGAGAGATATCTGCAGATTTTTATTTCATATCACGCAAATTTAGTTTTAAAACTTTGAGTGATACAATTAAAGTTGATTAATTTTTGGAATCTAGCCGATTGGCAAGTGTATTTGGCAAGAGTAGACAATCGAAATTGCGTCAAAAATATAGCAGAATATAAATAACGCGTGTAAATAATTATAAACATTGACGTTGTGCCGTTGTAAGTTTGTAAAACAAAATGTATAATAATTATTTTAAATGCTTAAATCAGTGGTTGTATATAACGAGTAAACAAGAAGAAGGGGAAACAACATATATGAAATATTGTATAGATGATAGAGGACGTACTTGCTAACCCTCTTCAATACAAGGTATATTATTAAATTAGAGTGTGACTTGTTTTATAGAATGAATATATATTATAGAATATATATATTATAGATTATATATTATAGAATGAATATATATATATTTATATCCTTGTAATTTTGTAATCTCAGGGTTAAAAAAATGGACAACAGTGGGTCTGGAGTAGTGCAAGTATTTGTGGGTGAATGGAGCCCTGAATATGAGGCGCTTTCCATTAAAGCTACGAAACAAACCTCGTCAGCCGAGATAGTGGAATGTATTATTGAAAGACTCGGATTGGTTGATGCTTCTGTTTCGAATGGCTATGAATTAGCAGAAGTAGTAGGGAATTCTGTTGGGCAAGAATGTAAGGAAAGGAGACTTGGCCCTACCGAGTGCCCCGTAGCACTCATGTTATTGTGGCCAAAAAATGATGCTCAGCAAGAATATTACAGGTTTATTATGCTTGGATATAATAATTATGTTTTATTATTATTCTTATTATTATTTGATTTAAAGTGATTTTTTACAAAATAATTTTTATCTTTGATTTTTTAGATTTTACTTACGGAAAAAACAACCAGATTATTTATGGTCTGACAGTAGATTCCCTATGGATCCTCAACTTTTAAAGGACTATTTTAATAGATTCCTTTATCAACCACGTGACAAGGAATACCCAGACCTATGTCAGCTTCCAGATCTGAATGAGCAAACACTGTTGGATAATCTGAGAGCAAGGTTTTTAGCTGGCAATATATATACCTACGTCGGCAGCATATTGATCGCCTTGAATCCGTTCAAATTTTATCCCATCTATAATCCGAAATATGTAAAATTATATCAAAACAGAAGATTGGGTCCGGATATACCTCCTCATATATTTGCCATAGCCGATGCAGCTTATCATTGTATGCTTAAGGAAAAGAAGAATCAATGTATCGTCATTAGTGGTGAAAGTGGTTCTGGTAAAACAGAATCCACGAATTTCTTGTTGCATCATTTGACAGCACTCAGTCAAAAAGGTTCACATGGCAGTGGAGTGGAACAAACGATACTCAGTGCCGGACCTGTTTTAGAAGCATTTGGTAATGCAAAAACGGCACATAATAACAACAGTAGTCGCTTTGGCAAATTTATTCAAGTAAATTATAAAGAAAATGGAATGGTCCATGGGTATGTTCTATAGTAATAAATGCTCTAAATATAAACTGTGAAACAGCAATGACATAAATGTGTTTTATAGTGCTGTGGTTCAAAAATACCTCTTGGAGAAATCAAGGATTGTTTCTCAAGGACGAAATGAAAGGAATTATCATGTGTTTTATTACCTGTTGGCTGGCGCAAACGAGCAAGAAAAACAGCTATTGCACTTAGAAAGCTGTGATCGATACAATTACTTAAACAAAAGCGGTTGCTACGGACTGGAAAATATCGACGAGCGGCATGAATTCTCAAGATTAAAACAGTCTATGGAAATGGTGGGCTTTACGGCAGAGAAGCAAAGACGACTCTTCGCAGTTCTGTCGGCAGTCCTTTTGCTAGGTGATTACCAAATCACCCATACTGCATATGTTGCTAAAATAACTCTGCATTATTGATTTAGGTAATGTTGAGTTTCATCCAAGAAAATCATATCACCATCACGATGAAGCCGTAGGTGTTAAAAATCCAGAAGTAGTTGCACTGATATCAGAGCTTCTACGAGTAAAACAAGAAACTCTGTTGGCAGCACTCACTGCTAAACGTGCAAGAGCCTCTGGGGAAACTTTAGTTATTAACTATAGACTTCCTGAAGCGATTGCAGCACGTGATGCCATGGCAAAATGTCTGTATGGAGCTTTATTTGATTGGATTGTGTTACAGGTAATGTAAAAGAATCTTTATATATACAACTATGGTTTTTAGCTGCATGGCACATGAAATAATTTATATTGTTTGTATCAGGTGAATCATGCATTGCTTTCTAAAAAGGATACTCTTAGAGATCATCAAGGCAATAGTATAGGCGTATTAGATATATTTGGCTTTGAAGATTTCAAAACGTGCAACAGTTTTGAGCAATTGTGTATTAATTATGCGAATGAACAACTGCAACATTACTTTAATCAACATGTTTTTCAATATGAACAACGAGAATATAGAAAGCAAGGAATTAGATGGACAGACATAGGATATAGTGATAACTCCGGATGTCTCAATCTCATTGAAGGGAAACCAAACGGTCTCTTGTGTCTTCTCGACGATCAGTGCAAGTAGGTATTATTGTTTGAACTTTACTTTTGCAAACTCTTGAAAAATATGTTTTAAATATTTAACTTTTTTTCAGCTTTCCTGGTGCAACGAACGAAACGTTGTTACAGAAATTCAATACTGTGCATAAAGACAATCCACTCTACGAAGCACCGCAGCGCCGAGAAGCAGCATTTGTTGTTCGTCATTATGCTGGAGCAGTCAAATACCAAGCTGCAAATATGAGAGAAAAGAATCTAGATTTGATGCGACCCGATGGCGTAGTCGGAGTATTGAAAAACTCCTCTCTTGCTTTTGTGCGAGAATTAGTCGGCGCTGATCCAGTTGCCGTATTTAGATGGGCTATATTGCGGGCCTTCTTTCGCGCTCACTTTGCATTTCAAGAAGCCGGTCGAGCACATAGACATGGTAGAGGTATGTATTGAATTATAGTCTATTGTATTGTATAAACATCTTTAATATATTGATGCAAGATATTAAAAAAAATATATATCTTCTTTTTAGTCGATGGAAACAAGACGTCTGTACAAAACAGATACAGGACACCCAACGAAAATTTAATAAGGTAAGATTTCACAATGTCTTTTTAGTTTTTCTAATAAAATAATATATTTATATATGAACGGTAATAAAAGAGTGTATTAAACGCTTTTACCTGTAACTTATATATAACAAAGCAAGAGTATAGTATTAAATTGAAAATTGTGTAAAAAGAAAGTGCCTGTTGCGCTTGTGTTTTTAGATATGTTTGATCTGTATATTGTTTCATCTAGTATGAATCTACTGTTGTGCGTCAATAATACATGCATCACGCTCTGATAAAGTTTCAGTATTTATAAATTAAGAAAAATCTTTATTATATTTATATTAGCCATATGTTTTTTATCCCTTTGTAGCCATCTTGTGACGTTGTCGACCGTCAATCTAACTATTAACCGAATTGCGTAAGTGGTCTTTTGATCCACTGTATGTGTAATTTTCACAAATGTTGCATTTTGTTGATACGTCCAATGGATTTACAACAAATTAAATTATATTAGCATATTGATGACAATCCCAATCAAGTAATTTAGAAAACGTAAAATATTTATTCTGAGTAAATTTGTAAATCCATATTTATGTTCTAATTATATGTGTCTACAGATTTTGTTTCGATTTATGTTTGCACCTTTCGTATTATAGCTATGACTAGAATGCAGTTTTCATGACATTTTCCATGTAATTATATTCTATCATTTTTACAATATTTCTCTCGCTATTGTATCTGGGCATGATTTATGACGCAAAATTGAATCTCCTTATATACAGTTCATATCCATCATCTCATTCTTTCTACTTTTATATTCGAATCATTCATCAATCGATGAAATATTTCCTGAGGACATCATTTATAAAGCTCAATACACGAAACCGAAAAAAAGCATATTTAAACTGAATAATCAATTATCAACGATAATTATCAACAATAATTAGTTAATCGTAAGGAATGTCGCCGGTCGACGAGATAACTAAGGACTAGAAAATTTTTCAGTTCACACAAACATACTCGCCCACCAAGTTATCAGAAGCAACGCAGTGTATGTTTACCATCGGCTACTGCTCCTTCTGCCACATTATCTTCATTACAAACTGAAAACAACGACAATATAAACAACAATCGTCTATCGTGGCCACAGTTCAGAAACATTAATCAGACGCAACACCCGTCAAACGTTACATCGACGAAGGGTGGTTACATATTACGGGGCAGGGAAGACCAGTCCCATAGTAATAATAAATTCAGACGAGATACTCACACTCCGCTAGAGAGGGTGCTTCCAAAAGATGAAGCAAATGTCATGGAACGCGCTAATCAAATTGTCATGTATGTAAACGTATCTATTTGATACTTAGTAATTTAAGCTACAGAGAAAGAGAGTGTTCTACATAAGCTGAGATTAGTACGTGCTCTATAGCAATACTGGGTGGTGATGGGTTTTCTTTTTGTAGGTAATAGCATTTTCATAAGATATTAATATTCAAAACTATATCGTGGCTTCATTTCATTCATTTAGCTTAATTTCTCAACGACATACCGTTGCTATTTCTTGATAACTGAAGAACATCATATATCATCAAAAAATCATTTGTCATTAGATATAGTTTACTTCAATCTTCCAGTTGATCTCGATCTATTCAATGATGATTGCTGCATGCTGAATGTTTTGTAATAGTATTTCAAAAAAATAACAATTTTTATAAAAGTTGCACATACCTTATTTGGAATACTTGTTATGTCCATGAATAATTATAATCTAGGATACAAATCTAATATAAAACAATATGATTTAAATTTATAATTATACATTAAAAATAATAATTCCGCATTTATATTTGTACCATCATCATAACATTCATTTTTATTAAATATTTTCTATAATAGTAAACCATTATTAAGCTTGCTATGTTTTTTATTATATCTATTTATATATTATACCATGTCAATTTTCTACTCTATTCTATTTTTTATTTCATATTTTATATTTTAGATAAATATATATTTTTCATGCGTATATAAAATATTGCTGGTTATAATAGAATGTGTAATTCTTTCTCCTGCATACATATGAAATTATTATCAAGTTTTATTTATCATCTGTACACATATATATATATGTATATATATGACGTGATATGTGATAAATGATAATAACAGGAGAAGGAACGTATGTCATACAGTATCGAATGTTACAAATTTTAGCATTGGAATGTTTACAGGAAAAATAAATCGTTTCGACCGAGGGAACGTGGCAAGAAGGGCCTGAAAAATCTGCAAACTGTAAAGACACTCGCTGGACGAACTCAAAGTTATGGTACCGGGCCGGGAAAAGCCAGAAAACAGCCTATGACTGTTTCAGCGCAATTTCAGCAAAGCTTGCACAGTTTGATGGATACTCTGAATCAAGCGAATCCCTTCTTCATCAGATGTATTAAGAGCAACGCTAACAAAGTACCGAATGAGTTTGATGAGGAAACAGTACAACGGCAGCTGCGCTATACGGGAATGTTGGAAACAGTCAGGATAAGACAGGCTGGTTTCAATGTGCGGCTAACGTATGAGGAATTTATACAACTCTATCGAATGCTGCTTCCTAAGGGTCTTCTGAGTTCACAATCGGATGTTAGAGATTTTCTTTTAACTCTTAATCTCAATAGAGATAATTATCAGTTGGGTACGACTAAGGTGTTCCTCAGAGAATCCGAAAAAATTAAACTGGACATAGAACTTCATCAACAAATCATAACGAGTATTACCACTATACAGAAATGGTTTCGTGCTTGTCTGGAAAGGAGAAAATTCCTGAGATTAAAGAATGCCATTGTGCAAATACAATCTTTTTGGAGAATGGTCTCGGCACAACGATTAGCTCAGGTTCTTCGTGCAAGAACTGAAGCCGCATTACATATACAAACTGCCTGGAGAATGTATAAACAGCATAGTTGGTTTAAAAAGCTGAAATCGTGCGTTATCACCTTCCAAGCATACGTCAGAGGAAATAATGCTAGAAAAAGATTTAATGAACTGAAAAAGCGGAAAAAATCTTTGCCAGACAAAATTCAAGACATCAAGAAAATTCAAGAGTATAAAGAGCTTGTATATGATAAAGTATGCGCCAAAAATAGTGAAGAGTAAGTATAATAGTACATATATTATCATACATGAAATATAGATAATTTTTTATATTTACTTATAATATACAGATCATTCGCGGAAGATCGAAGTCTAACGGAATATGGCGAATCGCCTCGAAAAGTAGAATCTCCAAATCGACTCACGACAAGGTAAATATCAAAGTTTAAGTTCGCTACTGTAAAGGTTTTTCTTTCGGAAACTTATTTATCTTTTTATAGGGGCGATAACGCGTATCGAGACAGCACTTTGGATACAAATATCTCATATTCGAAACGAAAACTCACCCCGAACAAACGCATTCTGCACGACGTGACGTTGAAGAATACGGAAACGTATCATTTTGATGACATCACGGAGCGCAAGAGTAGTCTCGAGAGTTTGAGCAGTTTAAGGAGTTATGAATCTCAAGCCAGCATCAATAGTTCTGAGTCACAAGAGAATTCAGGCTCGAGACCTGTGCCGAGCACGAGAACGAAACGCGGTGATCATTCACCGGCAATCACATCAAATCTAAATCTGAACGCATCCAGTCGACTCTCGTCAGTGAGTAGAAGGACCGATAGTTCCTCAACAGGATACAGCGACGGTGAGACCGAAAATGAGACGCCGAGCGCTGTGCAAAGTGCTCCACCTGTTTTCAACACGAGTCCGCCATTCGTTAGTTCGCGCGACGTGAAGTATCATCCTACCAATGTAAACCCAACACATAGTCCAAATTCGGAAATTTGGCGTCGTAGAGTAGACTACTCGCCCGCTAACTACAGCGATTACTATATGTCGGTACCTCAGAAAGCAACCGTCACCCGTTCGCCGAATGTCTCCCATTACAAGAACGTGACGGACAGTGTTTTCGAACAAGCCCGCCAGGAGAAGCCCACCGAAGCAGCAAATTATAATGTCAAACTCGATACGAGTGATCGCTTTGCTCAGATGGAGAGTTTGGCAAGCAACAGGCAACGTGGACACAATGACAACATACCTAATGAGCGAATGGAAAATATTCCAATATCGCCGGTAAAACGAGATCACGGGCTTGCCAAGAACGTCAAAGACCTCAGCTATTTGCGACGGCAAAATTCAGAGGGTGATACTACGACAAAGGTCATGGACGTTAACGATGACGGTGCTTTGAAAAGCACTTTGTTGAGAGGATCATCTCCGAAAGAAAAGAACTCGCGGTCGAAAGAAAAATACGAGCCGGACGTGCCGGTAAGAAATGCAAGGCGAAACAGACCCTCGAGAGAGGTTCAGTGTCGATCTATGGGCGAGAGCGTAGTCGAAACTAACACAGAAACCCGAAATCTGCTTCTTGGCACGATTAAAGAAAGCGACTTGAATAAAACGACGAACGTATGGTCTCGAAAAGATTACCCACATGAGACTACTTCTCGATCTGTCACGGATTGGCCCATGAATAAAAATGAAGCTACATACAAGGTACAGCAACCCGGTAAACGTATGAGATCTAATGCAATAACGACTCTCGAGTTACGAAGAAGAAACTCGGATCCAGCTACAAAAATCTCGGGTCTGAGCGAGGATAAGATGGGACAGGACACCAGCTCGAATGATCTGAAACTCGCACCTGGCATGAATCTTCTCGAATGGAAAGGTAATTTGTTTACATTGGCCGGTCATCGTTTCCGAAAAGTGGCGAGATTCGCGAAGGATGACGTATGCGTGTGTTGCCATGAGAAAATGGATGCATTCGTAACGCAAGGTTACAAGTGCATGGACTGCAAACAACTGTATCATGTCAAATGCATCCAAAACGGCGGAGTGCTGAAAATGCCATGTTTATTGGCCAACACGCCAAATAGACGGAAAAATAGGAAATCCCCGCGCACACCGTACGAGACGACAAAACAAACGGTTGCGTCCAAGTTCAGCCTAACTGGTACTTCCGCCTTCTCCGACAGCACGGACAAAATCATTTCCGACGCCAAAGAGTTAGCGCTGATGCAAGATTTTATCACCAAGAAGATCTACATAATGGAGAGTCAAGAGGAGGGACGGAAACCAAGCGAAGTCGATCGCGTTTTCAAACAGGCTCTCAGGAAGTTCAAAGATGACCTGGTGATCACATATAGCGTTGCCATACAGCAAGGCGTAGAAGGCAACATCAAATACACCGATTTAATCGCTAACTTCCTTCACGTCATGGAAACCGTCTGCAAGCAAGAGAACACGAGGGAAGATTTTCCCGTAACGATGGGCGTGAATGCATTCAGGGGCTTCATGAATGAATTCATGGCCATGGTTAAAACGGAAGCTCCTGAAAAGCAAAGTAAAGCAAACGGAAAAAGGAGAAGAAACGGAAACAGGAGGAGCCCATACGACATGGCAGTCACATGTTCCAATTGACTATCATCAATATACCCACCGCTTGTGAAGTCTGCACGTCATTCTTCATGTGGCCCATTGAGCGAGGACTCGTTTGTCAAAGTACGTCATTCATTCGTATATTAATTCCGTTTATTTTATTTTCTTATTAACAATTAATTAATTCAAATGAATATATTTTGCTTTTAGATTGCAAATTGACATGCCACAAAAAATGCTACTTGAAGGCATCAGCGGAATGCGGCAAGGACGGTTCGCTGCCCGAAACGAATTCACGCAAAGTATTCGGCGTACCGCTGTACAAGTTGGACTGCGGTGATGGCAAAGTGCCGCTCGTAGTAGATCGATTAATCACAACTATCGAGATGCACGGTCTCTACACTGAAGGTATCTATAGAAAGAGCGGCGTCAGTTCCAAAGTGAGAGAACTCAAAATGAAAATGGACGAGGGTGACTTGGAGAAAGTGGACTTTGAGAACTATCAAGTGCACGTCTTAGCGGCAGTACTGAAGAGTTTTTTCAGAGATATGCCGGAACCGTTATTGACCTACGAGTATTACGACGATTTCTTGCACGCAGCGAACTTGACAGATCCACACGATCGAATCAGCACGCTTTTCGCCATACTGAAAAAATTGCCGAAACCCAATTACGATCTGATGGAACGCTTGATTGTTCATCTTGCGCGGGTAGCGCGACATGAGGTAGACAATAGAATGTCACCGTCGGCTCTGGCCATCGTTTTCGCACCGTGCATTCTCAGAACGAACAGAACATTGCCCGCGCAAGATTCTCTTCAAGACGTGGGCAGGCAGACGCGTTGCGTCGAAACGATCGTGCAGGAAAAGTTGAGAGTAGTCAGAGCGACATTAGCGGACATAAATACTCTCGAATCCGCCTGTCATACAGCGACTCATCGACTTTCTAGTTTACGATCATCCAAGATCTTCAGCCCGGAGGAGCTGAATGTGGCCGCCTCGAGTGCTGCGGGACGAGCAGCTGCGATGGATCGTGACAGAGATCGAGGAGATGAGGAGGAAGCTTTGCTCGTCGATCATATACAGGAAATCCAGAAGGAAAAAGCTCTTCTGACATCCACTCTACCTAGTCTAACGAGAGCTTCTTCGGACGATGATCTCCTCTTGTCAGCCACGGATCTAGACGATGGATCCCTCGATGATCTTCTTCCATCTGCTGGTAAGTACTTTCTATCAATTATAATTAAACGATTATTTAATTAAAAAATTTTTCCAATAAAACTATTTATTTTGAAAGAGAAATTTTATTTAATTATTTATTGCTTTATTAAGTAATTGATCTTGAAGACAATTTTTTATGTGATGAAAGAATAGCTTCAATAATCTTAAGTATTAAAATAGATATAAATATAAGAAGTTTCTAGGTTTTAAGATTTTTTACTTTTATTAATCACAGACGGACTCGTAAGGAAGAAGCCCGTTCAAAGGCAAAGTTCGGCAGACAATTCGTTTCCGACGATTATCAATATGGATGACGATATGGTAATGGTATGAATAGCGTCTGCGAATAATGTTAACGTGCATGCTGTACGGTTGTAATCTGATGCAAAATATTATATTTGGGACAGAGAATCAACCAATTTAATTGCTGGTCTTTTCAGCCAAGTATTAATGTGTTGAGACAAATTAGTAAATGCAATTATAAATAGCTCGTAATTTGTTGACTCCACGAAAAAAAAAAAAAAAAACAAGTTTAATTGTGCGACTGAAATAATTCCATTCTCTTATCGAAGTCAGTAGAGATATCTAAAACTATTTCGTACGATGTACGATTAAGAGAAAACTGCACAAATTTTAACTTTTCATGGTTTTATTCGTAATGCATTCCTTTCTTTGAAGACTGTCAAAGTATTTAGGCGCAACATTTTGTTCGTCTATATAGATCCTAAAGAAAACAAAATTAACGCGCCACTTTACACACTTTTAAATGAAAGCATACACAAAAACTAGAAAGTATTTAAAAAAAGCGTACTGTTCTTAACATATATGTACATGCACAAGTATATATATTTTAAGAAATGTCCGCTCATCAAAGTGATGAGGGAGTCATACCGAATTACTTGTTTTTATAAATTTACAATTTATAAAAATGTAATTTATTATTACAACGTGTTACAATTCTCAGCAAACATGTTCTGTTCCTTTTTTTATAGAGAATCTTTCTTAACATATGCAGATACGCTGTTCTTTTATAACTATTCGTTTAGCGTACTAGTAGATCTGCCACTTCATCTCTTCCCAAAGGATCTACTTCTCTCGTTTAAATGGAATCGATAATCAACCGCTTTGAATTCCTGTGCGAGATGTTTCTTCTGTATTTCATTGTAATGTTTAACGACAATAGTCGATTAAAGCATTAGGTTTAGGTGCAGGAATTTAAGGGACGACCAAGAGAGAAAGAGAAAACCAAAACATTAGTTTGTACATATTATGCAATATAACAATTTCGTAATAATCTGTTATTATTGTTGAATTTACGCGAGAGACGTTTAACAAGATTATATTTCTACTGTCGATATTCGTTGTAGGGATAACACGTCGTTATCGTGCGCGCGCGCGCGCGCGCGCGCAGGTCTCTATCGGTTTTAGTTTCTTCTCTGAATCGATTTTTACTTAACGCGTTTTTTTCTCATGCTCAGATGCGTCCCGGAGGCGAGTGTGCGTATATAAGTAAATGCCTACATTATATACAAGTACTTATGTACATAAAAAAATTCGCGCGCGAGACTAATCAAATTTCTTCGATCGAAATATATTGCATTTTTTTTAATTTTGTTTTAATTTATAATATATATATATATATATACATATATGTATGTTATTCGGTGTGTTTTAAGTCGATCTTTTTCATGACTTTGCTTCTCGCTGTCTCCTTTGTTCGTTCATACGAATTCGTAACTTGTGCCACTTCGTGCGCGCAATAGCCCGACGATTGGAGAAAATCGACAATGTGAAAGAAAAGGGGTGAAAGAGATTTCGATCTCGCGTAATAGAAGTTTCTATCCAATAAGGATAATCAGATCAGGTCCCCACTTACGTACCACGAACTTAATTGAATTCCCCTGCGAATTAATAGTTACGCTTGATGATGATCCCGGATAGAATTGGTCAGTGAATTGAGTCTTTCTTTTTTTTTTCCTCTCTTTTATTTCTCTTTTCTGGTTGGCATTCGAATATAACGATATTTTCAGCTACAGCGAAAATAGTGGATGGAGAATTATTATTACAATTGTAAGGAGTGACTTGTGTAAATTTTTTATTCATTATTTCTGATATATCACATTTCAATGGATTATATATACAGCATACATTCTGTTACATCCAATCACCAAAGACTCGAACGCGCAATTATTTTTTTTCATTTTTTTATTTACGTGAATTCGATTTTTTTCTTTTTTTTTTTACTTCACGTGCATCCGCTTTTTTAATGTGAAAGCGTCCTATATTTTTTAATTGCCTTCGCATATACTTTAAAAGAATAAAACTTATATTTCCGTCCTCTCTCGACTCAGATCGACAGTTACATTTATGCAGCAGGTGAATATTTTAAGTTTCGCGTATCGGCAATCGATGAGACGAGGTAAAAACTTCTTTTTCTGTTCAATTAAATCCCGTCTTTGAGTATTGGACCACGCGCGACTTTTATTCGGATAACTTTTAGGATTAAGTCGAATAATTAAAAAAAAAAAAGAAAGTAAAGAAAAGCAAGAAAAAGAATCGTCCATTCTCCCGCAACATTTTTTTTTCCTAACTTGCAAGGACCCACCTCTGCGTTTACATTCATTTTAAGAACAATCGACTCGGCGATGATGAGTATCGAAGCGATTATCGTTATGTCAAATCTGTCGATCCTCGATCGTTTTAGACGGTCTCGGAAAACGGGACGACTTTAAATTGCCTTTTTACAATCGATAAGTTTTACGAGGTGTAGCTAAGGTAAATCGTTATGAAATCGTCTTCACTTTGTGTAGGGGGAGAGGGGGGGGGGATAAATTGTAGTGTTATGTAAATGTAATGTTACCTTTCTCATCTAAAGCCATGACATCGTGCTCGCGATGCACAAAACGCTACGACTTTAAGCAAAGCGGAACGATCTTAACGATAAAAAAAAAATTTCAAATACTAGAGGATACCTATATATTTTTGTTACGTCCACCGAATAGGGGTTTA